TGGCAAAATATATATAACAAAATGTATCATTTAAAAAAAAAGATTTTTATTGATTTTTAGAGAAAAGGAAAGAGAGAGAGAGAAATGTTAATGTGAGAGTGACACATCAATCAGCTGCCTCCTACATGCCCCCTACCAGGGATGGAGCCCATAATTTGGGCATGTGCCTTGACTGGGAATGGAACTGGCGACCTTTCAGCGTGTGGGATGACACCCAGCCAACTGAGCCACAATGGCCAGGGCTCATTCTATCATGTTTAAGTGTAGAGTTCAGTGGTATCAAGTACATTCACATTGTTGTACAATCATCACCACCATCTATCTTCTTCAGGATTTTTTCATATTCCCAGACTGAAACTCTGTATCCATTAATCAATAACTCTCTATTCCCCACTCTTCCCGGCCCATAATTCTACTTTCTGTCTCTATGAATTTGATTACTGTATGATTCCACTTATATGAGCTATATAGCTCATATAAATTAATCATACAGTAATTGTCCTTTTGTGTCTGGCTTATTTCTTTTAACAGTGTCTTCAAGATTCATCCGTGTGTTAGCATGTATCAGAATTTCCTTCCTTTTCAAAGCTGAATAATATTCCATCATATTTACATAGAACATTTTATTTATTCATTCATATGTCCATAGATATTTGGGTTGTTTCCATCTTTTGGCTATCCATACTAATAAAAGGGTAATATGCTAATTAGACCAGACATTTTCCAGATGTCCTTCCAAACAAAGCCACGGTGGCAAGGGGTGAGGCAGAAGCTGTTAGGGGCGATCAGGCCAGCAGGGGAGAGCCGTTAGGGGCGATCAGGCTGGCAGGCAGAGGTGGTTAGGGGTGATCAGGCAGGCAGGCAGAGTAGTTAAGGGTGATCAGGCAGGCAGGCAGGTGAGCGATTAGGAGCCAGCTGTCCCGGATTGAAGAGGGTGCAGGCTGGGCTGAGGGACTCCCCCCCTGCATGAATTTCATGCACAGGCTTTTATATATCTATAATAATAAAAGTGTAATATGCTAATTAGACTGGATGACCTTCTGGACAAAGCCAGGGCTGCGAGGGAAGCCGAGTCCAGGTGCCAGAGGGAAGCCAGTGCTGGCAGCTGGGGGAAGGAAGGCCTATTCTTGCACAAATTTCGTGCATCAGGCCTCTAGTATATATATAAAAGCCTAAGCAACCATTACGACTGAACAACTGGAACAACTGGTTGCTATGATGCGTAGACAACCAGGGGGCAGATGCTCAGTGCAGGAACTGCCCCCTGGTGGTCATTGCGCTCCTACAGCAGGAGCACTGCTCAGCCAGAAACCAGGCTCACAGCTGGCGAGCACAACTGAGGCAGTGAGAGCCTCTCCTACCCCCGTGGCAGTGCTACCAAGCAGTGGGGCTGGGAAGAGTGGCAGTGGAGCTGTGCTTGGCCCCGGCTTGGGCTCCTCCCCAGCTGCCTGCCTCTTTGGCACTGCTACACCCCTCAGGGGGATTTCAGACTGCTGGGGATTGGGCCAAAATTGGCAGTCCAACATCCCCTGGGGGGTCCCAGATTGTGAGAGGGCACAGGCCAGGCTGAGGGACCCCACCCATTTACAAATCTGTGCACCAGGCCTCTAGTTGTGAATAATGCTGTTACGAACACTGGTGTACAAATATCTACTCAAGTCACTGCTTTCAATTCTTTTGGTATATACCCAGAAGTGGGATTGCTGGATCATATGGTAATTCTATGTTTAATCTTTTGAGGAGCTGCCATTCTCTTTTCCATAGCAGCTACACCATTTTATATTCTCACCAGCAATGCACATATATTAATCTGTAAGTTACTAAAGTATCTATTGTTTTGAAGTATGACATAAATTATTAATTCTTGCATATGAAATACACTAGAGGCCTGGTGCATGAAATTCGTGCACAGGTGCAGTCCCTAGGCCTGGCTGGCAATCAAAGTGTGAGTGTCTGGCATGGAAGGGCAGGTCCTAGCTGACCTCTGGGCCCTGGGCAGCACCTGTGCCCCTGGGCCCCCGTGCGCCCTCTTCCACCTGAGTCACGGCACCCGAGTCCCCACGCGGAGATGCAGTGAGCACGGCCAGACACTACAGGGTGCAGCATGGACCTCTGGACTACCCAGTGGTGTCGCACAGAAGCCGGGCAGGCAGCACGCTCTCTTCCGGCCAGCATCGTATACTGGCTCCTGCGCAACCCATGGGGAGTCCGACGAGATCCTGTGGTCCTGGCAGCTGCAGTCTTGCTCACCTGGAAGAGGGTTTGCAGGTGCGGGGCAGGCTCCTTGCGGGCAGGTAGGCGGAATGAGAGAAAGCTCGGTGGACAGCCCGCAGTTTAACCGCACCTCTGTCCCTGTCACCCACACCCCAGGTAGCTGGTGAGAGGTTACAGCCCCCCGCTCAGGCACTGCGGGTCGCCACCACCCGCCCCCAGTCCCACATCCCAGCCTGGGGCCCAGTCTCTGGTCACTGTCTGCAGAGCGATTGGTTGAGGCTGGGCCCCCTGCCTGGCTTCCTCAGCACCTGGGAGCTGGGTGGCAGCCCCACCTGGCGCTGCCACCACTGGTCACCGTCTGCGGGGTGATCAGGCCCCCGCTTGCACCCACCTTGGCCTGGCACTGCCTGCTCACCTGTTCCACCATCCTGTCGCTGTCCTGCTCTCGTAGGAACCCATTGGGGCTGGCAGCACCTCCACCGCTGCCAGCGCTGCCTCACTGACACTTGCCATGTTTCATGCCGCCCCCTGGTAGTCAGTGCACATCATAGCAAGTGGTTGAACTCTCGGTCGAGGGGATAATTTGCATAATAGGCTTTTATTATATAGGAGAATGATATGGATACCAAAATCAAATATTCAGTATTAAAACAATTGTGGCTGTAGGTTTTGCAAAAGAATTTAGCTTGATAGCAGGTATTTCTGACTCTGCTATGGATTTATTGCTCAGTCATGTAATCTTTATTTTTGGAATCTTTATGGAGCTGTAGACATAAGTATATGCTTATTGGTAGATATGAAACAGTTTTGTTCATAAATACCCTGATCTCAGAGTTTACTAATAAACCTGTCTTTAATATTTTATAAAATTCCCTTGATATGCATAATCAGAATTGATTAGAAAACTCAATGGTTAGCACATTTACTGAGTGCCAGTTTAGTGCAAAGTTCCAGTCCACAATCATGTAGAGAAGCATTATGGTCCTTACCCTCAAGAACTGTTCAGTCTACGACACAGGCATAAACGTGAAAATCACATCATTATGCACGAGTGGTATATGGGTCACAAAGGAAAGATTCCATGCCAGTACGTGATTGGTTAGTTGCTCACTGACTATTTTAGGCAAAAGATACCATGGACTCAGCTCAAGGGAAACCAATGATTATGGCAGGAGGTATCTGAAAAATGAGCTGGGCACTGAAGGATCCATAAAATTTAGATAGGTGGAGAGGACAGGGGAAGAGCTTCCAGCTAGGAAGGAATGATATTATGAATGTCAGGCATTTTTACTGCCTGAATCATTAATTGGCATTAATTAACATAGACCTGGGACCAAAAACAATTAGATTGAATCTATTTAACAAAAATTGCTAGTCCCCCAGCCCTACATTACTGCTACCATGCTCCCTGAGTGGTGATGGTAGGAGTAGTAGGAGTAGCAGTAGAAGTAATAGTAATAAGCTTGTATTTATTAAGTGCCTTCTATGTGCCAGGCACTGTGGTAAACACTTTTTATTGTCACTATCTCAGCATCCTGTGCCCACTTTTATGGACAAGGCAATAATGAAGACCCAAGAGAACTGAAGAAGCTTGCCCACAGTCACACATAGTAGAGATAGTCATGATGATATCAGGCAACCAGCACTTCTGTTACCACCAGGCAATGCCACCATAGGCCATGCTATAGCAGCACGAAATGTGAAAAAGACTAGTGACTTTTTAAAGTATTTTTATTGCTTTCAGAGAGGAAGGGAGAGGGAGAGAGAGAGAGAAACATCAGTGATGAGAGAGAATCATTGATCGGCTGCCACCTGCATGTCCCCCACGGGGGATCGAGCCTGCAACCCAGGCATGTGCCCTGACTGGGAATTGAATTGTGACCTCCTGGTTCATAGGTCAGTGCTCAACCACTGAGTCATGCGGCCTGGGCAGGATTAGTGAACTTTTTAATGACCTGTAGACTTTTTTAAACTCTGTGTGGCTGATGTTTAACGTTCCGGCAATACCTGGTTATGAGCCAGAATGGTTGTAAACTCCTCTAGAACACCAATTTCCAACTGGGGTGCGTAGTCATTTTTAAAACACGCAGTACCTGACTGTTTAGTCAGGGGCACTGACCTCTTTCCCCTTAGATTGTCAAATAAAACAATGACAACAGCCATACAACCATAGCTGTCCACTGTGACTGAATAAAAATTATGCCTATTTTTTGTCAGATTGGCAAAAAAAAATAATGTGCCATAAAATATTAATAATTAGGTTATATGTGTCATGAGTTGAGAAAGTTGAAAAGCGCTTGTCTAGAGGCCTTATTTTAACTTAATAGCTTTTGTTGCTGCTCAGGAGTAGAGACAACGGGCACAGTCTGTCCTGTAAGCAGCTGAGTAATGGATGATCTGAAGCTTTTGTATTCACCACTGAGATGGCACATCGTTTTCTTTGGATGAAAACGAATCCATTCAAAAAACGAATGTTCATTGCTGTTTTGACAGGAAGAAGTTATGAGTATTTTTTCCCTTTTGGTGACTAAACCATTCAGTATTGCTTAGTTTTGTGATTCAATTTGATGTAGTTACAAGAGGTATTTGGGGTGTAGTGGTTTTCATATATTTTAATAAGTTGTATTTCTATGATTTTTGTGTGATGCCACATATTGTTGACAGGAAATACTTGTTTTTTAGTAAAGTCAGCATGACTCAGCAGATTAGAGTCCAGAAAGTCTGACTCAGCATGCTGGTTGGGCCACAGAAACCTGAGCAGTCACCTCAGTCTCAGAGCCTGGAAACAGAGATAAGTGTCAGTTTGTCTGTTTCAGAGGCTGGCTGTGGAAAATTGCTAGGCTTTAATTGTTAATCTCAGTGTGGGGCACTTGGTTTTGGGGGAACATGAATTTGAGAGTAAATGTATCTACTTCTGAATTTTGAGTAAGTACAACAAGCTTTGAGATTTTCCCAAATTGAGTCCGGGTGGGTAGAAAGGGTGTGTGTGCCAATTTGTGAAGGAGCTGGGAGGTGCAGTAAGGTTGGGACTCTTCTTTGGATGCTGTTGAATTAAAGGGTGTAGTGAATGTTAAACTGTTTTTGTTGTTCTTGCTGAAAGTTTTTGGAAACTGTTTGTCTATATTTAGACCACAACAAGCAGGTCAGTCATATTTGCAAATGTGCAGTTGTAAATGAGGAAATGTTCTCTTTTTTCAATATCAAATATGCCTCATGTGCATTGTAGTTGTTTAGTAGAAAATACATACAGGTCTGAGGCTGAGATCCCTGATAAGAGTCACAGCTTTAGACGTCTTTGGACTAAAGAGTTTGAGTTAGGTATTTTAACATCTGGTGCGGTTAGTCAGAGTGCGGTGAGAAGCAGGGAGGGTAACAGCAGTGACTCACCAACAGCATCATTCAAGGACTAAGCGGGAGTCTGAATTCTCATTTCACTTGGCAATGTTGGTGTTTAAAAAAAATATATTGTATCTTGCAAAGTTCATGTGCTACTTTGTTGCACTTAAATGTGGTTTAGTATACAGTTGAGAAGGACTAAAAAACAGGGTGGTTCATAGCAAGTTATGAAATGGTGTGTCATGATAATGGATTTATCAGCTACACTCAAGTTTTGCACTTGGAATGCGTAAATTTGTGAATTGGTGAACTATAATTCTATAGAATAGTTCTGAAAGTTTATTAGAATTTATTTTCCTTTCTTTTCATCTGAAGAAGGTATCCACTTAAGTATCTATGTATATAAAAGCCTAAGCAACCGTTACAAGCAAACGACCAGAACTATGACCACCAGGGAGCAGACGCTCAATGCAGGAGCTGCCCCCTGGTGGTCAGTATGCTCCCACAGCCAACCTCCCGCATCTGGCCAACCTCCCCTATCCCTCCTCCATTCCCCCCGACCCTCCTCACCCGCCCCCTCCCGCCTTCAGGCCCAATGGGCCCAGTCCCAATTGGCCCGGCCCTGATTGGGACTGGGCAAGACGGCCTGATTGGTCCTGATCACTGGCCAAGCCTAGGGACCCCACCCATGCATGAATTCCTGCACTGGGCCTCTACTATCACATAAAGCTTAGGAAAGGTACTGAGATAGAATTTCAGGTTTACCTATAAACGAAATTAAGAGTGAGACTGTCTAGCCTCATTATATTGACTTCAATGTCCCTGAAGTGTTTTATGACTTCAGTTATAAAAGGTTCTTATGGAATACCCTACAAACCTTAAAAATGATAATGTAGATATATGTTTATTGACAAAGTTTTTCATGAGCTATTTAGCAAAAAGGCAGTTTACAAAACTATTTATGTAAAGTAATTTAATCTTTATGTAAAAAATACGTATCTACATAGCATGAGAAGTTGTCTGCAAACATATGCACCGTAGGGGCATTTAATCTACTTGCCGAATCTGTTGACCAAAGCTTCCGGGTGCGGCTGTGGCTCTAGACATGCTTCTGATAAGGACAGGTTTGGGTAACACTTACTTCCATGCTTCACTTAGCTAATAAAAAGGGAAAGTACATCTACACAAAAACTATATGCTGTTATAGGTGTTTTTTTCCCATTGAACATTTAAAAAATTCAGAATGTAAATCACTGGTATTTTTAAAGCAATTGAACATTTAAAAATTTCAGAATGTGTATCACTTATATTTTTAAAGCAGTTATTTAGGAAAAAGCCTTTTAAAAAAATTTTCACCCAAGGATATGTTTTATTGATTTTTCTTTAGAGAGAGAGGAAGGGGGAAGGGAGAGAGAGAGAAACATTGATGTGAGAGAGAAACATTGATTGGTTGCCTCCTGTACACAGCCTGACCAGGTACGTGCCCTTACTGGGAATCGAACCACGACCTTTTTTTGAAAATGGGGCAACAGTCCAACCAACTGAACAACCCAACCTGAGCTAGAAAAAAGCTTATTAATAGTCCTTTAGTAATTCATTTATTTAATCTTTCATGGAGGGAAAAATATATAAAACACGTATGTTTTCCTAGAGTAGTTATGCTGTATTGGGATATACTTATGCTGAAGATCAGAAGATTTGGAAAAGAAATAAACAAAAGTCCTAGCTAACCTAAAATGTCCAAGACACTAGCAGGGTTTGAGTATAGTAGGGATCTTTCATAAAAGGAAGCTTTTCTGTACGAGGTTAAAAATCCACAAAACAAAAGTTAAATGGGCTTAAAAATAATAATAAAAAATACTTGGAAAATTCGAGAAAGCTAATAACCTTAAAAGATTCTTCGATGGTCTCTGAGAGACTCCCCCCACAGACTTATTTTGTTATTATTGACCTCCTGCACCCTCCCCCCAAAGAACTCAGCCTATAAATATCTCTCTTATCCTTTTTAAAAAAGAACAAGCTATAAAAACTCTCCAGAACATTTGATTTTTCTTCATCCACTGTCCCATCTCTTCTGCTTTCATTGTAGCTTCTCAAAGGCCTGGTCTACACTCACGGTCCTCCAATGTGTACCCACTTGTCTGTCCTGAAAATGCTTCCCCAAGATGAATAATTGCCCAGGGGCTTTAAAATTCTCACCATTTTTAATCTCTTGATATTCTGCATAACGTTTGGTAACCCCCATGCTTACACTATTCATGGTGACCTATCAAAATTTTTCTTACTCTTATTTCTCTAGGATAAAGTTGAATCTGAGCAATAAGCTGAGTCTCCCATCCACCCTGCAGTCACATCTCCTGCTCCCCCAAAACGTATTTCATGGTTTAGCATTACAGCTCCCTGGCCAGGGCTTGATGTCTCTGTGCCTGGTCACATGTATTATTTCCTGTGCCTGAAATGCTCTCCACCATTAACCTGATTTTCATCATCCTTCAAGTGCCTCAGTTTTCACCCCCTCCTTCCTTGTTCTGTGGCCTATTTCAGACATGTGTGATGACCATGTCATTCCTTGTAGGCTGTGGCTGTCCTAAGGGCAGAGTTTGGGCTTTTCTCACTCACTTTTTTAGTGCTCCACACAGTGTTTGGCAGAAACACAAAGTGTTTGGCACAAAGGCACCATCTGTTTCCTGTTTGTTGAACAGAACTAAGTAAGACTTTAAGCTCTGTGAGGACATTTGTGTTTATAAATTCACTAGAGGCCCAGTGCACTGATTGGTGCACCAGTGGGGTCCTTCGGCCTGACCTGTGGGGATGGGGCCAAAACCAGCTCTCCAACATCCCCTGAGGGGCCCGGATTGTGAAAGGGTGCAGGCCAGGCCAAGAGACCCTAGTATGCATATAAGATCTTTGGTTAATCCCACCCTCCCCCTACCCCCTTCCCTCTGAGATTCATCAGTCTGTTCCATGTTTCCATATCTGTGGTTTCCACTCCTGCATTGAGAGTTTGCCCCCTGGTGGTCAGTGTGCGTCATAGCTACCAGTTGGCCAGTTGAATGGTCAGCCAGTCACTTAGGCTTTTATATATGTAGATGAATTGGAAAATAATTGATAAGGTGCCCAAGAGAGATAGCAAAATTAACAAATTATATTTGCTCTCCATTTTTATTAAACAAGTGGTAAAGAGATTTTTATTCTTAGACTGTCTTATAAAGGAAATAGACATTTAAGTGGAGAAAAATGACCAGAATGAAATGTCATCTGACCAAAGGAGCCTAAAGGTGAAATTGTAGAATCTTCATCCAAAATGTTTAACCTAAGTTTTGTTTTCAAATAATTGGAAACAAAATACGGGCAGGTGGTTTTTAGAGTGTAGTGTGTTCTGCCCTTCTCTGATGAATAGATGAGATGGGTTAGTTGTGTATAAGTGGCTTCATGTCAAACGACTGTCAGTAGTTTTAAACTACTTGAGAATGTTTCCCTCTTCTGCACTATGTTTATGCTATGAAAACTCTTCCTGGAGATGTAGCCTTCTCCTAAACTAATGCACAATTTGAATTACTGCAGTTTAGTTTTTAGCACTGTTTCCTGTCCCAGTAGCCTGGATCCTGGGGTCAGCTTCCTGCTGCAGGAAGCCCCACTCCTGTTTAGTCCCCGGAAGAGGTGGCAGGAAGGCCTGACCTCCCAGAACCCCTTAGGCTTATTTATGACTGTGTCACCTCTGCCTCCTGGAGACAGTTGGGTAATTTGGATGAAATATTTGGCTAACATTGATTAACACATTTAACTTGTCTAGTGAAGGAAGTGACTGCAGGCCTGGGGGTATTCTGTCCACCCTGCACACACTGCACAATGGAGCTTTTGCTTCATGCTGGACATGGCCTATTTACTATTTTCAGTTGCATTGAGTTTCATACTAATTTTGACCTAGTCCTTTGGGGACATAAAGTGCAAATTGTTTGATAGCATTCGAGGGTACTTAGGTGACTGGGTGTTCTGTTGTGATGTTAATCTACTAGAGGCCCAGTGCATGGATTTCTGCATCAGTGGGGTTCCTCGGCCTGGCCTGTGGGGATCAGGCTGAAACTGGCAGTCCAACATTCCCTGAGGGGTCCCGGATTACAAGAGGGCACAGGCCAGGCAGAGGCACCTCACTGGTGCACGATCGGAGCTGGGGAGGAATCGTGGGTGGGCTCTAGGGCGTGTCCGGCCTGTCTCGCCCAGTCCCAATTGGCCAGACCCCAGCAGCAAGCTAACCTACCGGTTGGAGCGTCTGCCTCCTGGTGGTCAGTGCATGTCATAGCAACTGGTCGAACAGTCAAACAAACGGCCGTACACTTAGCATATTAGGTTTTTATTATATAGGATTTGGCAAAAGTACACTGAGCAACTTACCCACCAACATGCTCTTAGTCCTGACATTCTCCAGCCTTTACAAGAGCATAGTGTAGTCAGGATTGGAGGCACAAAGGACCTGACATTTTCACAGACACACTCCACAACTTGATAATGGAACCAAGCGACATCACCCAAGACTCCCGGCTGCCTGACTGAGCACCAATTTAGAACACTTGTACAAACGTCAGCACCATGCCAGCTGTAGTGCTAGTCAGGTGTAATTTGACACCGGTTTTTCCCTCAGAAAGACATAGATTACCCTCCCACCCCCAAAAAAACTTTTTCAAAGGCTTCACTTAAAGATCTTTTTTCCATCCTGTATTCCTCAGTTTTCATTCTGCTTGTTTTCAGTTTTCCTTTTCCACTAATGTTCCTCCTCAAACTGCCTCAACAAATTTTGAGTAGATTTATGTTTACTGATTCATTTTGCAATCTTAACTTTCTAATTCAAAGCTCATGTATTAATGTGTACACTCTACATTCCTGGAAAGCTTTTTCAATAGAGTCTCCTGGAAAATGGTCAGTGAAGGCACGTGGCACTGCTTTTAAGTCTTTAGGGGGGGAAGGAAGGAAACCCCCAGACTGTCTGGAAGAGTTGTTCAGCCTGGGGCCATGAGGAATCACCTTTCTATGTTCCCTGATTACTTGCTGACGAGGACTTACTTTGACTTGAATATGTGTTTATTATTACCATTCCTCAGTTTGTCTCCATTTAAATCATGTATAAGATTTAAATTGCACAGATTTGAATTTAAGTGGTCCTGAAGCTTCCAGTTAAAAGATGCTATTTAATCTCAGGTGACTATTATGCTGACACTGACAGTTCGGCACCCTCCCCACACACTCTTTAATCTTTTGAACTGCCAACTGCATGGAAGATAGCAGTGTAACGTCTTTGACTTTTTGTTAAACATTTCTAAAGTTTTTCTTGGCATTTGCTTGAGACAGGTTTTTGATAAGAGCTATGGTGCTGCAGCTAATGACATAGCCCCTGCTCCATATTGTCCATTGCTTGTGGTGATAAATTTACAATGAAAAAAAGAACTTTTCAACTTGAAGATTCCTGAAGGCCTAGATGAATGCATGTTTTGACACAATCAGGGCTGGGATAGAGGACACTGCAGGCACTTATCACTGCGTGGATAGAACGAAAACAGACTGTATCCTTAAGCTCACAATGAGGATCCTGACAGAGGGCAGCCCTATAGTCTCAAGGGGACTTGTGATATTATGAAATATACTCCATAATCTCAGCTGGTAAATTGTACAGATACAACTTTGGTTCAGTAAGTGGACAAGTGTTTGTACTGGCACAAGAACAGACACATAGATCAAGGAACAGAATAGAGAGCCCAGAAATAAACCCACACCTAAATGGTCAATCTACAACAAAGGAGGCAAGAATATTTATTGTTGTAATGACAGTCTATTCAATAAATGGTGTTGGGAAAACTGGGCAGATAAATGCAAAACAACGAGACTAGATCACTTCTTAAACCATACAAAAATAAACTAAAAATCAGTTAGAGACTTAAATGTAAAACCTGAAACTATTAAACTCCTAGAAGAAAATTTAGTCAGCAAACTCTTTGATACTGACCTTAGCACGATTTTTGGGGGCTATATCTTGGGCAAAGGCAACAGAAGCAAAAATAACTTGGGCAAAAAGCATACTCTGGCTCTGTTTTTGAAAAAATTTCAGAGAGGAAGGGAAAGGGGGAGAGAAAAACATCAATGATGAGAGAGAATTATTGATCGGCTGCCTCCTGCTGCATGCCTCCTACTGGGGATCGAGCCTGCAACCCTGACCTGGAATCAAATTGTGACCTCCTGGTTCATAGGGCAACTCTCAACCACTGAGCCACACTGGCCAGGCTCTGGCTCTTTTAAGGATGATTTCTAGAAGTGGCCATAGAATAATTTGTTTTTATCTCATCAACTAGAACTTAATCATATTCTCATTCCTAAATACAAGTAACTATGTACACAGTTAAACGTTCTCTTACTATGGAGGAAGAGGAGAAAAATATCAGAGGATTCGTTCACACTCTTTAGTCTGATATTTAGTCTTTAACTTTCTGTTTAGTCCTTTTTCTTATCACTTACCACATGAACCCTATGCATCAGCCAAAAGCTTTCTTGTTCCCCTGGGTTGAAAATGACGGCCTCTTCCTCCAAATCATGTAGCACTTTTCATCTGTATTGTGAGGCTCATGTGCTGAACTGTTTTGCTGTCTCGTCTACATGTGGTCTTCCTAAGTCATAAGGTCTCACCACAGTATGAATTCTTGGGAGCAGTGACCATGTCTTAGATATCTGCAATGCCTAGCCTAGTGCTTATAAATAATTAGTTTTTAATAAATATTTCTTATATTAGAAAGATAAATAATCTTGATGGCTTCTTGGTTTCTTGTAGAATTTTAGGAAAGGAAGATGGATCAACCTAGTGGAAGGAGTTTTATGCAAGTATTATGTGAAAAATATAGTCCTGAAAACTTTCCTTACCGCCGTGGTCCAGGGATGGGAGTCCATGTCCCAGTTACACCTCAGGGCTCTCCTATGAAAGGTAAGAAAGATAGGATCTAAAACATTTATTTGCTGGACTTACTTAGGACATTAAATCAGAATATTGCCTTTTTGCAAATTTCTTAATTTGAATTATGAGTCAGTCTTTCTCCCTTGCTATGATTTCATTTTTTGAAAAAAATGAAAGGACTTGTTTTGCTCCTGATTGGTCAAAAGTCATTTAGTTGGACTCATGGGGCAAGAACAATATTTGAGTGATATCATTTCAAATACATATTCTTTCACGAACTTGGAGGGTGAAAGAGACTGCAAAACTACTTTGTCCTCAACAGCCGAACAGCCTAATTGGATTACAGGATAGTCACATTTACGAAACTATAACATGTGGTAGTTTATGTTGAGCCCAATGAATGACACAGTGATTGGGGAAGAAGTTTGAAAGAGAGTTAATATCAGAAAAGAGTTCAAAGCTGTGAGACTTGAACTAACCCCTCAAGAATGTAGAATGTTGTTAGAGAGGAGATAAAGACATTCTAGAAGAGGAATTATGATGTGAGCAAAGATCTACAACTAGAAGTGTGCATGCTGTTTTAGCTTCATGTTATAATGAGCAGTTCGTAAGATTAGTTCTTTGTAATTATTGAAGATTATTATTGAACAGTGTTTTGGTTCCTATATCCAAAGGTTACTGAGCATTTATTATTTCTCATTGCAACGACCTTATCACTCTGTATCAACTGGAATGACGGAAGGAAGTGGACTTCTTCCTTGGTCATTTTTTTCAGGCTCCATTCTCTTTCTGAAAAGCTTGATACTGATAAGTACTAACTTGAAAAATCATGCAATGTGAGGCCTCCATTACTAAATATTACCTTTGTGAGTCCTTGTTTTATACCACATACGGAAAGAGTTGTTGAATTCTCATGTTTATCCTTTTTATTAGAGACTGGAGGCCCAATGCATGAAAATCGTGCAAGAGTAGGCCTTCCTTCCCCTGGCTGCCAGCACTGGCTTCCCTCTGGCACCTGGGACCCGAGCTTCCCTCTGGCTGCTGGCAGGCACCTGGGACCTGTGAGGGAAGCCCTGCCCACCCGCCACAGCCCGCAGCTCGGTGGCCTGGGCCTCCCTCTTTGGGGTGACCATGGAGCCCCCCAATTGATTGCCCCACCAGCCGAAGGCCTGGGCCTCCCTCTACAGGGCGATCATGTGGCGATGGCCGGGCCCCTGACCAATCACATTGCACCCTCCTTGGCTGGCCTGGCACCAGTGGGTGTCTTAGTGTGGTCCCGGATAGTCGTTCGGATGGTCGTTCCGCCGTTCAGCCGTTCGGTCAATTTGCATATTATGTTTTATTATATAGGATAGTAAGTGATTTTATTGATACATGATGAACAGAAGTAGGTTAGCAGAGACTATCTTCAATGGTTTGAAGTTATTTTAAAAGGCAGCAAAAGGTGAAACTATATACCAGACAGGGAGAAAAGAGCTACCCAGAATGATACTTTTGAACTAATGATACTTTTGAACTTTTTTCCATTTTAAAATGGAAAGAACTAAGACCAAGAAGAAGACACTGGTAGTCAGACATGAGTCATGGGGACCTGGTCTTCAGGTGACAAAATGATGGCCTGTGTGATGGATAACAGGCCTCGGGAGGTGAAGCCTCCGGGACTTTCATCTCCTCCTGGTTTGTTTTGAAACAAACTATTGCCTGCTTCATATTTGGTGTCTCCACTTAGAATTGAGAACCCTTGGATCCCATCATAGCCTTTTGATTTTGATTCCTGGGGGCTGCATGTGTGCAGACAAGAACGAGGCTGACGTAGAAGTGTTCTGTTTCCCGTGATCCAGATCGCCTCAACCTCCCGAGCGTCCTGGTGCTGAACAGCTGTGGGATCACCTGTGCAGGGGAGGAAACCGAAATCGCTGCCTTTTGTGCTCATGTGTCAGAGCTGGATCTTTCTGACAACAAACTCGAAGACTGGCATGAGGTAAAGCTCTCCTATCGCTGCCTTTGGGAAATGTAGCAGTGATCATTGTACTGCTTATGGCATCAAGTATTCTGCTGAACTCCTTCTCACTGGAGATTCTTGTTGTCTGTATGTCTCAAGATACATAACTGGCTGTTTCAGCTGTTCTTATGGTAATTTTTCAATTAACTTGATTATGATTATTAGTTTTTACTAATGTGCACTGAGGAACTTTATTCCAGGCATCCAAAGGTTAATAAGTTGAGAGAAGTTTAGACTGCTAGCAATGCATTAAATTTTCTACTCTTTCACTGGTTTACACATCCTATACGTATTCTCTACTAATACTTTAACATTTATTACTATAAATTGACATAAAAGTTGTTGAGGGTTGGAAGTAATATTGTTACTGAAATTTATTCCAAATGTTTTAGAACTTTTTCTTACTTTATTAAGTCTCTTTGGTGGTTTGACATAACAGATGTCTTTTGATCTCAGAGTAGCTCTAAACCAACAACACAAATAAAAGTATTATAGCACTCTCTCTTATTATACCCTAGAGGCCTGATGCATGAAATTCATGCAAGGGGCTTGGCCCTTGCAGCCCCTGCTGCCCTGTGGCCCCACAGCCCCGCCCACTGGTCTTTCCAGAAGGTTGTTCCTCTGTCTGATCTAATTAGCGTATTAGCACTTTATTACATAGGATATCATTGCTTTTCTGATTATAACATTACCTAGTAGAAGCTACCCTTTAGAATAAGGGAAAAGTAGTTTTTCCTGCTTTATTTGTTCTTAGTTGGGCTCTTATTTCTTGCTTGGAAAAGCTTGCTAATGGGTTTTCCTGCCTCAGCTTTGTTCTGCTTCCTCTAACCCAGTGGTTCTCAACCTTGGCTGCACATTAGAATCACCTGGGAATCTTTTTAAAATCCTGATTTCTGGGCCTCATCCTCCGGAAATTCTGTTTCTTTGTTACTAATGTTGTGGCCTCACTCCATAACAAAGAAACAGAATTTCTGGAGGATGAGGCCCAGAAATCAGGATTTTAAAAAGATTCCCAGGTGATTCTAATGTGCAGCCAAGGTTGAGAACCACTGCAACCTGTCTTCCATGTGAGTAAGTGAAATAGGGCGGTGCCCCTCTCCTGTCGGAGGTCCGGCAGTTGTCTGTTACTGCCCGGAGATGGAAGTCTGAGCTCTCTGAGTGTGGCCCTCAGGTGGCCCTGTGCTATTTCCAGAGCTTCATCTTCATCTTTAGCCACATGCTGCTTCTTACAGCTTGCTTTCAGTTCCTTCTCAATCTACTGCCCTCTTCCTGTCTCAGCAAGATGGGCCTGATTGCCATCCCCCTGAGGAGCTTCCCCAGGCAGCCGCTGACCCCTGTGCCTGGGCCCTTCTCACAACGTCCTGCAACCACGGGCTCCCTCGGCATTTTCCTGCTAGATGACCGTCTGCCAAGTGGAGGTTTTTGTCTTTTTTATCATCAGCACCCAGTCTACTAGGCACTCAAATGTTTGCTGACTTCGATAATGAGGAAATGATTGTCTCTTAAGGATTAATGAAGACCACTGCTCCAACTTTTCTTGTGAACTTAAGAAAAGTTCCTTCATTTTTAGCGCTTTAGTTTGCTCATTTTAAAGACAGGGATGCTGATAAAATTCATCACTGAGGCATATTATAGATGCTAAACGCTATACAAATTCTAAGACAACAGCTTTGTATTATTCAGTTTTCTTCCACTTTTCATTTATTTTCTTATTTATTTCATAGTCTTCCTAATCCGGTGACTGTGCTCCCAGTTATATTTCCTGTTTCTATTGAGGTGTTCACCTGAATTCTTTGAGAGGCACGTCACTTGATTTCTAAGTGACTTGCTAATATACGCAGACTTAATCCCTATTTGTATATGTATTTATTGATTGATACATTGATCTAAACAGTGTGGTTCACTGTTTAACCAATTACAGGCTGTGCCTCTTTTGTCCTTTGAGGTGCTTAATTGACATGCATGCTCTGTCCACATGGCACACATGCAAAAGGAGCTCCTTGGTACGCTCCTCCACGATGCCCACAGTGTCCTCCTGCTGACCGCAGGGCCTTTTTTGAACTGCGTGGGTGACAAGTCAGACCAAATCTCCCTGAATCATTTCCGCTCCTGTGTCCATAGGCGCTTCTCCTACATGTGGTTCCTTGGGAGGCTAGCGTTTACTGAGGTGTGTGCTTCGTGCCTGACCTGTGCTGCTGCTGCCGGTGGGAGCAGTTCAGAGTGATGACATTGCTACCTCAGGAGAGCACTTTATTTCTGCGTGGGTCAGAACACAGTTTGCACTAAGTGCTTCAGCCTTTTGTCTACCTAGACAGAGCGCTGCACTACTTTCACACCGCAATGATGTGTATGGCCAGAGGGTCGTGTGTTTATCTGTACGCGGTTGAGTTTGTATATCCTATAGGTATGTACTCTATAGTTAGTTTTCAAGCAAATATTTGCTGCTACTACCCTTCTGGTGTCTATTTTCCAGTTTATTTTTGTTTTCATTTTGCTTTATATTTGTCCTTAACCTTAAATATAATTGATCTCAGTCTTCTAGACCATAAATCAGAACACAGAGAGATGGGAGAAATACTGACAGCAAAAGAATATTGATTTGGAGGATTGATTAAACTCTGCTAGGCTACAAAAGTATAGGTCACAGTTTTAAGACATTACATTTCAACCCCATTGCAGCCCATATACCTGATTGCCAAAAAGATCGTTTGTTTCTGTCCATTAATTAAGTTTATTCAGCCAGTATTTGAAATAGCAAAGTGGAACAAAATACTGTAATATCATTTGCTCTTTTAGTGTTTTGAATGATCACTAATGCTATGAGTAACTTCTTATATAGTTTAAACTACTGGCTGCTATATATCCAGACTAAGATCAATGTGACTGAGAAGTGTAATACTTTGGGGGAAGCAAAGATTTGTCTCTAACCTTCAAAAGTCGGGCATTTTTGTGTTAAAACAAGATGCATTTTTTAGCTTTTGACTTGAATTTTTGTCTAACTAGATTTTACTCTGACCTTTCCCAAGGTATCTTCTGTTTCTTCCCTTTCTTATCAAAACCATTTTATAAAAGAGTTGAGAGGAGAGAAGTATTAGCTATTCAGGGGAGTTAGAGAATAGCTTGGGTAGAAGTTACAGATTGTTGTCTTATAATGCTTGTCCCATTTTTTCTAAAACTGTAATTTCTTTCTTTTTAGAGGCCAGAGTAGAGGGCCCCCTCTTAAATTATAGAATTGTGGCGACTTAAAGGAGATATGAGTTCAGCTCCATTATTTCTACACATGAGTCTGCTCAGCTCACTCCAACTGGAAGCGGTTTCTGTTTGTTGGTTGGTTGGTTTTTAGAATTTAAAAAAGAGAAGTCAATGGACTGCCCTAGAAACTGATTGAATGCTTGTCCATCTTTGCTATTAGGACATTTTTCTGCCATAAGTAAGTTTACCTGTGTAAGGTGTTATATTTTTCAGAATCTTACTATTAATTTACGGTTACCCTAAAATACTTTCTAATTTCAGTTTTGTAAATAAAATATTTATTTTTAACATGCATTATTTTTTTCTGCTTTAATTATTAGAGTATAGTCTAACCTTATCTTTTTGGGATATTCCAGGGCTAGTAAGTCATTATTCTAATCCTTACTCTCATTGGACAGTAGGGTAGATGCAGACTTGGAAAAGATTACATCAGTATCTGTTTGCTTTGGGAATTCTCCCAGAAATTGCTTCAAAAACCCTTAAATTATCAAATTTTGAGTATTTTCCTTTTTAAAAAAATATATATGTTTATTGATTTCAGAGAGGAAGGGAGAGGGAAAAAGAGATAGAAACATCAATGATGATAGAGAATCATTGGCTCCCTCCTGTACGTCCCCTACTGGGGATCCAGCTTACAACCCAGGCATGTGCCCTTGATCGGACTCTTCAGTCCGCAGGCTGATGCTCTATCCACTGAGGCAAACCAGCTAGGGCTTGAGTATTTTCCTTTTTATTACAAAAATAGAATATGACGGGTGCTGGTTACTAAAAGGTTTATGTTTTCTTTTATTTAACTGAGACTGCTATAATTAGCAGTTAGCCTTCATGCTGTAATTGTAGCAGAATTATTTTTCATCCTTTTTTGCCCTTAAAAGAGATACACATAGATCAGTGGTTCTCAACCTTGGCTGCACATTAGAATCACCTGGGAATCTTTTTAAAATCCTGATTTCTGGGCCTCATCCTCCGGAAATTCTGTTTCTTTGTTGCTAATGTTGTGGCCTCACTCCATAACAAAGAAACAGAATTTCCAGAGGATGAGGCCCAGAAATTAGGATTTTAAAAAGATTCCCAGGTGATTCTAATGTGCAGCCAAGGTTGAGAACCACTGACATAGAGGATCATCCTCTTATGTAGGAAAGTCCTCCCTGGCATTAGTGTCCAGGTGGGAGAAGGCATAGAAGATTGCTCCCAGTGTGGACTCCTTAGCTGTGTCGTGGCCACAGACTCAACTCCAAATTCCAGCCATATATCACACAAATGCTGTTCAAGCAGAGGATATGTAGAGACAAGTATAAATTCCTTCTTTTGTAAACTGAAGCCTAGTGTATTTTCTCTAAAAGATAGCCAGTTTCTTCATTTAAAAGTGGGGCTAAATATGGTATCACTTCGAAGGGTTAGTGAGGAGTGGGAAAAA